CACGTGAGCCCGCGGAGGTCGACGGGGCGGAGCCGCAGGAGTCTCGGCCAGGCGCGCTGCGGTTTGGTCGAGGGTCGGACCCAGCCAGCGTGTCGCGCTGAAGAGCGAGCCAGGCGCCACGGGCTGGAGCCCCTGTGGGCGCTGGGCTCGGGCACTGGGGGTCACCCAGAACTTCGGCCGGGGCGGGGTGGAGAGCAGACGGCCTGTCAGTCCTTTGCTTGCCCACGGGCCACCGTCCCCTTCTGCTACCGCGGGCCACCGTCCCCTTTCTCTACCCGGGAGGCCACCGTCCCCTTCGTCCTACCCCGGGGCCACCGTCCCCTTTCTCGTACCCCGGGGGGGCCCACGTGCCCCTGGTCTTTCCTAACCGCGGGGCCACCGTCCCTTCTTCTGCCGCGGGGGCCACCGTCCCTTCTGCCTGCCGCGGGCCACCGCTGCCCCTTCTCTGCCCGGCGCCAGACGTTTCCCCTTCTCTGCCCGGCCCGAAAGCGTCCCTCTCTGCCGGCGCGGGCCAGCGTCCCGCGCTGTTCTTGCTTTGTGGCCGGGCCGACGCGTCCTCGCAGCGCCTGCGTTTGGCGGGAGGTCGGACCCAGCCAGGTGTCGCTAGGAAACGCTGGACACCGCCACGCTGGGAGCCCCTGGCTGCTCGGCGGCAGCTGGGTCACCCAGGAACGTCCGGCCGGGCTGGGGTGGCAGCACGGGGCCGTGTCCGATCCCTTTCTTGGCCCAGGGCAAACCGTCCCCTTCTCTACCCAGGGTCCACCGGAATCCCCTTCTCTACCACGGGGCGCACGCGTCCGCTTCTTACCCGGGGCACCGTCCCCTTCTCTCGCCCGGGCCACCGTCCTCCTTGCCCGGCACCGTCCTCTCTGCCCCGGCGCACCGTCCCCTTCTCTGCCCGGGGCCACCTCCCCTTCTCTGGCCCAGCGCCGACGATCTGGGACCACCGCGTCGCTTCCTGCGAGGAGCGCGGCGCGGCCGCACTGGGCCTCCGCCTTCACAATCTGGAACGCGCAAAGCAGGGCCGCCGGCTGTACCGCAGCCTTCAGGCGCCGCCCAGCAGGCGCGCGAAGGTGGGCTCCTGCCCGGCCCCTGCCCCTCCTCTGCCCTCCGTCGCTGCCCGCCCTCCCTTGCTCCGCGTCCTGCCCGCCCCGCCCCCTCCCCGATCGGCCCTCTGCTCACCTGCTCCGGCCCTCCGCCTCCCCCCTCTTTTTTGCCCGCTGCTCTGTCCCCTTCCACCCCACCCCCTGCCCTCCTCCCCCGCCGCGCCTTCTCCCCTGCTCCAACCCCGCAGCCCCCGCCGCCCACCCCCGCCCCTCTCCCACGGGCCTTTTTGCGGAACCCCCACCTCACGCTGACTCACGGCAGTAACCGCCTTGCGACTGTGTAGTATCGCCTTACCCCCAGGTTATTCGCGTTCTGCGTATCTAACTTTGTGTGAAACACAAGAATCATTATTTAAGAATCATTTCCAGATAGGCGTCATACATTGACTCATGTCTACTGGAAAATAACTGCTGTATGTATTCTCTTGATGGTTCATCTAAAAATACTCACAGGTGTTGCGGCGCTCTTGCTGCCCTAGCAACTCAGCTTTGCTCATACTGTTACTGGCGGTCCCGTCGGTCCGCCTCAAGTCTCAACGACATGGCTCTCTGGCAAAAAAAAAAAAGCTAGTGGTCATTTAAATACATACATTCCCAGGGCGGTCATTCTATAGGACGAGACCATCAAGTTCTCCGGTACGGCCAATATAGCCCTTGGCCCCATTTCTCATGCTTTTCTCTTGAGGTATACCCGTGGATCCTGAATCTCTTCGGGTCCTGCCGATCTCTCCGTGCGATTACTCATTGTATCTATCTTTCAATATGTGGTCGGGTTCCACTATCTCCGCGGGCCTGCGTATGCTCAGGACTCCCTATTACAACATATTTATCATAAATTTCATTCTAATGCCTCAAGTCGGTTAATCAAGCCACACCACTTCAGCAACTTGGATATTTCAGAAGCAGGTCGGACAGACTCTTATTAGAATTTCTCCCTTCCCTCTCCTTGATCTCCGATGGGGACAATCTGCGCGTCCCTCCTAATGATTTAGGCCTCTCTCGCGCCTTCCTCCTCTCGTTTGGTCTCTTTAGCCACACAAAAGTGTTCTATCCCTGCCCGTATCCACTACGCAACTTAGGCGGAGTCAATGAAGCTGCTCCTATTAAAAAGCAAAGGCCGCGGTTACTTATTTTTCTATGCAAACATCACTCGATGTCTAAAGTATGTACAGCAAACATGTCTGCCATTAGAAGTGGGAGATGCAGATCTACAGCTGGAGATTCAGCCGACGCCTCAAATTGACGTAAAATATTAAATACCTGTAATTGTAGTCTTAGCAGAATCGGTCTAGCTAAGCAAAATGTTTAGAAATAAATGTAACAAGCCTCAGACGGGTCTCCTAACCACGCTGACGTCCATAGTAAACTGGTGTATACCGCGGTTTACCGGTGACGTCGAGCCTTATTTCTGTGATCCACCGTGCAACTAGAAGCACTTCACGGCGAACCTTTGATGTGGCCTCGTTTTCCTCTTTTGCGGACACAATGCTAGTAATGTCCAACCAGCCGCCTAGCATCACACTATTGAAATTACGTGCATGCTACTCGCTAGAGTTTGCTCTAGCTCGACCAGGCTAAGCAGTGAGTGGTGAGGAAGTGACACTGTGTTCCGCTTCCTCAGGGTCTTGTTCACAGATAATACGCAGCGCTACTCTCTCCCCCTCCCTGCTGTCCGCGTAACTCATGAAGCTTTGATTGCGGTCAGATGTCTTCACTTTTGTTCCTTAAAATGATAGCAGTACCAAGCTGCTGACTAGAGTCGCTTCGCGTTGGGTCCCATCACCAGCGAGCCCCAAAATTTAAACGACTCGCTTCGCAATACAATGCCCCTCAGCCTCAACCGATGTCACCTCCCAATGCCCATTGTCAAGCGATCTCCTTCCCATCACAGCTCCTCAAAAATCTGCTCGTGTATCTGATTGTCGCCGGTTTTCTGACGCTCTTCGGGATGACCGGCAAAAATGTACAGCGGGCCGGATGTGCATAGATACATCCAGCGCTAGTCTTGTGTGCATCTGGCTCTCTCTTCACTCGAATAATTGTTTTTGAGCTTCACTGCGCAATGTTGTACCAGTTGGTATTCTTCCTTTTATTGCTGAATAGAACTCCATCTAAGAGAAGGTGTACATTCTTGGTCTCATCGATTCACCAGTCATTTGGATTGTTCCAATTTTGCGCATTGTGATAAGCTTCTATGGAAATTTGTGTACAATCTTTGTGGTGAGAGTGTGGTACTCGTTTATTTTCTTGAGTAGATTTAGGAGTGAATTGCTGAAGTGTTAATAAGATTATGTTCACTAGGGCCGCCCAGCGCCACGCCGGCTATTTAAGGACCAGCCTGCCCGCATAGACCCTCGGTCTCTTCAGCCCCCCCCCCCCGCCTGGACGCCGTCTGGCTCGCTGGTGGACCCTGCCGTTGCGTCTTGCAGCCGTCGGGTGGAGCCGGGGGCAGCCGCTTGCCGGGTTTTTCAGCCTTTCCTCCACCGCGCAGGAAACGCCGGGAGCCACCACCGTGCTGGGGGACCGGCTGCCACGTGAGCCCGCAGTCACGGGGAGCCCCAAGTCTCGCAGTGCCTGCGTTTGCGAGGGTCGGACCCACCAGGTGTCCGCCTGGAAACGCCGGGAGCCACCACCGTGCTGGGAGCCCCTGGCTGCTCAGGGCACTGGGGGTCACCCAGGAACTCGGCCGGGCGGGGCGGGAGCACGGCCTGTCCATCCCTTCTTGGCCCAGGGCAACCGTCCCCTTCTCTACCCAGGGCCACCGTCCCCTTCTCTACCCAGGGCCACCGTCCCCTTCTCTGCCCGGGGCCACCGTCCCCTTCTCTGCCCGGGGCCACCGTCCCCTTCTCTGCCCAGGGCCACGATCTGGACCCACCGCGTCCGCTTCCTGGAGGAGCGCGCGCTGCCGCACTGGGCCGCCTTCACCATCTGGAACGCGGGCAAGCAGGGCCGCCGGCTGTACCGCAGCCTCAGCGCCGCCAGCAGGCGCAAGGTGGGCTCCTGCCCCGCCCCGCCCCTCCCTTGCCCTCCGTCCTGCCGCCGCCCCTCCCCTGCGCCTCCGTCTGTCCTGCCCCGCCCTCCCGATCCGCCCCTCTGCTCACCTGCTCCGCCCCCTCCCCTCCCCCACTCTGCCCCTGCTCTGTCCCTCCCACCCCACCCCCGCTGCCCCTCCCCTGCGCCTCTCCCCTGGCCTCCAACCCGCCGCCCCCCACCCGCCCTCTCCCACGCCTTGCGGAACCCCCCACCCCGTCACCTGCTCACGGAGTCCCAACCCGCCCTGCGCTTCGACCCCCAGGTGGTCGCGTTCTGCGACGTGGACCAGAACAAGATCCAGAAGGGCTTCTACTGCTACGAGGACTCTCAGGTGCGGGCCGCGTCGCCGCCCTCCGGTCGCCGCCTGCCCTGGGCCGGGCGCCCAGACGAGCCTCCCACGGCCATGCGGCCTCGGGGACCCCGCGAGCCGGCGAGGTCGGCCCCCCGCGGGCCCTGCGGGCGGTGGTGACGCTGTCCCTTCCTGTCCCCAGGAGCGGCCCAAGCCCCGCGTGCCCGTCCTGCACTTCCGCGCCGCGCGGCCGCCCTTCGTCATCTGCGTGAAGCTGGTGAGTCTCGCGCTGCCCGCGGTCCCGCTGACGTCGTGGGGCCGGACGCAGCCCGGACACGCGACCTGGGGCTTGGGGACACGCGGCCACAGCCGCCTGCACCTGCTCAGGCCAGCGCGCGTGGCACACCCGCTCCCTAACCCTAACCCTAACCCTTCGCGGGCGCCCGTCTGTCCCGCAAACGCGCAAAACCAGCCTCGCCGAGGCCCGCGAAGCACCTGCGGGTCGTCTGGGGCCGGGTCAGCGGCCGGATGGGCAGAAATCGCTGCGGCCGAGCGGCAAGGGGACGACGACCACTAGGGCCGCCCAGGGCCACCGCCGGCGGCAGCCGCTGCCCCGCCGGGACGCCCGTCTGTCACTGGGGTGCCGACCCTGCCGTGTGTCTGTGCAGCCCGTCGGTGAGCCGGGGCAGCCGCTTCCGGGTTATTTCCAGCCTTCTCCACCGGCAGGTCCCCAAGGGTCAGACCACTCCCGCCATCCCCGCAGGGCTGGGTCAGCCCCTGCCTCGGGGACCAGGGCGGCAGCTTCCTGCTGGGGCTGCTGTGCTCACGGAGGACGGAGCCCTGTCCTGCCCGCTCTCCACAGCTGTCTGATTTGTAGGAGTTTCTTTCATCTGTTCGGGACAGTTGTCCGTGGTCACTTAAGCGTGTGGCAGATATTTCCTCCCAGTTGGCCTTCTCGGTTCTGCTCAGAACTTATTTTTCGTGCGGTGGCATCTGCCCACGCCGGTGTCCTGTGTAGGGAGTTCTTCCCCGTGGTGGGAGGCTCGGGCTCCCACACGGTTACACATGAAGTGCCCCTCGCCTGTGTTGGGGCGCTGAAGGCCACGTCCTCTGTCCCTGCCCTGCCCAGGTCACTGCCCACGTGGCGTGTCCAGGACAGCGTCCCCGCGTGCTGGGCCTCGGTCGTGGTGGTGAGGCCGGCCTGTGGGTTCGCTGGATTTCCCCGGATCTGGAGGGCGCAGGCTGGGCCGTCAGGCGCTCCCACGCCTCGGCTCGCCTGTCCGGGCACCGCAGGGTTTGCTGCCTGGCACGTGGCAGCTTTCTGGAAGCCACGGCTTCTGCTCGCCGCTGCCACAGGAGTGAGACTGACTTTATGTCGGAATAACCAACTGCCAGTGACAGCTGACACTTGGGTCCGGAGGTGCGTCCTCCTCTCTGCAGTGACGCCACCGACTCTTCCGCCGTCCCCGCCTCGGGGCTGGTCTTGTCCTGTCTGCCCTTCCAGGGTGGGTGGCCTGGGCCCAGGCGGGCTTGTCTCTAAAGAACCTCCCCTTTCGGGGGGGCGAGTTCTTTGCCTGTTCTTACAAAAGCCTTTTAGCAAGAGAAGGAACCACCCTTTCATTCCTGGTTTAAGAGTTCCTTTTTGTGATGGGAAATTCCAAACATCTACAAAGTAAACGGAAAGCGTAGCCAGCCCTGAGCCCAGCCAGCTCCAGCGGTGCCAGCGCTGGCTGCGGAGGGCCCGGGTCTGTGACTGGCCGGCATTCTCCCGGGGCTTGGGGCAGCTGCGGCGGCCGGCCCTCCCCTGTGGTGTGCGGATGGGTGCGCCGGGCCTGAGCTATGCGGCCGGGGTCATGGGTGGACACGTGAGGCTGGACATGGGCTGCTGCTTCCGGCATCTTCCAAGCTGTGAGGGCTGGACCCACGTCCGGCCAGGGCTAGGCGTGGATTCCTGCCCCGCAGGAGCCGAGAGAGATCAGTGTGTGTTGATCAAGGCTGCCTAGTGTGCGATTTGTTATACAGCAACAGGTAGCTGCACTGATACAGGTCCAAGCTGGCAAACAGTTACCCGCCCAGCCAGTGTGGGCTGGCACACTCAGTTCCCACCAGTCTTGGGGAAACGCCCACTGTGGTTTTATTTATTTATTTATATTTATTTATCTATCTATTTATTTTTTGAGACAGAGTCTTATTCTGTTGCCCAGGCTAGAGTGCTATGGCGTCAGCCTAGCTCACAGCAACCTCAAACTCCTGGGCTCAAGCGATCCTCCTGCCTCAGCCTCCCGAGTAGCTGGGACTACAGGCACATGCCCCCATGCCCGGCTAATTTTTTCTATGTATTTTTAGTTGTCCAGCTAATTTCTTTGTATTTTTTAGTAGAGACGGCGTCTCGCTCTTGCTCAGGTTGGTCTTGAACTCCTAAGCTCAAATGATTCTCCTGCCTCGGCCTCCCAGAGTGCTGGGATTACAGGCATGAGCCACCATGCCCAGCCAAAATATGGAACGCTTCACAAATTTGCGTGCCGTCCTTGCGCAGGGGCCATGCTAATCTTCTCTGCATCGTTCCAGTTTTAGTATGTGTGCTGCTGAAGCGAGCACCCACTGCGTTTTTAGGACGTGTCTGATCACTGAGCACCTCAGCCTCTGTTGGACACTTGGATTTACCCTTATGACTTCTCCAGTCAGACTTTCCCCCGTTTGTGTGCTGGGCTGGGCGCCTTCTCCACGTAATTCAAGCTCTGTGTAGCTGGGGTTCTAGGCCTTGCTGGATTCTGTTCCGTGAATGCCTTCCCTGCGTTGTGGCTGGACTCTTCATTCTCTTAATAGAAATGTCAGTTTAGAGAAGCATCTGGTTTTAACAGAGTCTTGTTTAAAGGAGGCGTAAATGCTCCCTGGGCCAGGGTCTGGGCTGGTGTGGTTCCTTTGCAGACTCTGGAAGCAGAGCTAAGGAGCAGGCAGAGGCAGAGCGTGGGAGTGTTGTTTTCTGGGTAGTCGAGTAGTCGTGGGCTCCGGCGTGAGGGGAGCCGGGCCCAGGACAGACCACGCTGACGGAGGGATGGTCCCTCCCGCGTCTTGCCGGAGGCCCGAGACTCGGGGGTGGGCTGGACTGGGCCGTGTCTACAGGAGCCAGCCGCAGACCCTGGGGTGGGGGGTGGGCCTGAAGGCTGCCCACCTGCCATTGCCTTGCAGGTGTCTCCCAAAACCTGCTTCAGGGATGGGAGCAGGCAAAGCCACGGGGTCAGGCGGGGTCCGCTTGGCTTCAGATGGAGGCTCTGTCTGCGGGGCTCCTCCCTGCTCCGGCCCCTGCGCAGGGCTGGGCTGCCCTCATCGAACTCATTCCATTCCAGGTCCCTCTGGTGGGGCATTCACGAGGGCCCAGGCCAGGGGGCGCCTCGGAGGACCCCCCACTGCCCCCCAACAGGACCTGGGAAGAAAGCAACCCCTTGTTGTCCTCTTAGCGGAACATGTCGACCGGTAGAAGCACCTGGTTTTAATGGCAGAAGTTCAGACCGCGTGGGAGGTGGACACGGGCAACCCCAGCCCCTGTGAGCAACGGGGGCCCCGACTGAGCCCGGCCTGTTGCCCCCCCAACAGGACCTCACCGGGGGCGCCTTTGAGGACAACCTGAGGTCGCTGCACCTGCAGGAGGGCAGGGACTTCCTCCTCTTCAGCTGAAGGCCCAGCCACGGCCACCCCAGGTGGGTCCTCACTGAAGCACCGTTTGGGTTTGTTGGGCCTTTTTATAAGCTTCACTCCCTTTCATCGTTTTGTTTTTGTTTTTTTTGCTCTGTTTGGCCCATGTTAAGAAACCTTTCATAAATCCTACTCTTACAATTATTTTCTCTACTCTCTTTAGGGTTAGTCTAACTTCTTATGTTTAATGCATTAATTTCAGCCTTTCATAAAAATAAGGGGTTCTGAAGTCCTGAATATACATAGTAAGCACCACTTCAGGCAAAATCCATCTGTGGTGGCTAACAGCATTTTATTAACTTTCATTACATAGCTTATAATTTTTTTAACCACTTTGGTACAGCGCTCACCAGCCGAGAAACCTCGCCCACAGCCGGCACTCACAGTCCGCACGGAGGTCTGTGCTGTGCATTGACGGCGGGTCGTTTTGCTCTTGTGTGATGAGGAAAGCTTGAAAGCACTGGAAGCTTGTTTCACTTTACAAGCAGCTTTCCTTGTCATGTAAATCAGAATAGGTAACATGTACATATGTTCTTACTGTGTTATTTTTAAATGTTCAAAATTTTATTTTGATAAATGAAAAATTGGAAAAGTCATATCGCAGCTGATAGCTAAAGTCGACACTCGGCTGTGCACCTTCATATCACAGCTGTTGGCTAAAGTCGATGTGTGTGTTCATCTGTGGCTGCTGACTATACTTGACGCTGGTACCGAAATGGTTAAACCATTTTGAAAATGCATGTGTTCACACACGCACATTTAGGTTCTATGTTCTGTACATGTCCATTAGGTCAAGCCTGGATCTTTCAACTATACCTTGCTAATTTTATATTGGATAGATCAATTTGAATAAAAAATACACTAGGATGGTGGATTGATTAATTTCTTCTTAAATGTTTGCTTTAATATATTCTGAGACTATCACTAGGCACATACAAGTATAGGAAAGGTCTGCCATCTCCCTTTAATCATCATATAGTAATCTCTAGCTCTAATTCACTATTTGTCTTAACTCTATTTTAAAAAATACTAATATAAGTACCTCCCTATATTAATGACCTTGGGCGGCTTTCCTGACCTTGTGTGTGCCTTTTAGGTGTGTCACTTGTAAAATGCACACAGCTATATTTTTATCTGTCCTGTAACTGGAGAATCGTCAGGTAGTAGATAATTTAATCCATTTATGTTTATTGTGTTAATATTTCTAATATTTTTGCATCTTGTCCTTTTTTGTTACGCTTGCATTTTTAATAGTATTTTTTATTCTTGTTCCATTTTTCTCCACTAGTGAAGTTATATTCCTGCTATATTAACACTTTTTGTGGTGACCCAAATATTTCAACATGCATGCTTAGCCAAGCTGATAAGGCAATTTTATTTGTACTCTATCCCAGAACATACAGACTTGAGATGCTTTAAATCCCATCACCAGCTCTGCCCTGATTTATATGCTACTACTGTTGTCCATCTTGAGCAATGCTACGTGCTTAAAGTGCACATATGAGCCATCACTCTTGTTCCTTATATCCTTAGTTTGTTGCTTTCTCTGTTCAGCATTTTCCTTCTGCCTTTAGACGCTCGAGCAGGGGCTCTCAGCCCCCTCAGATGTGTCTAGACATCTGGCAAGGTCTAGAGACACTTGTGGTCACAGCTGGGCAGGGGTGGCTCTGGCACCCGGGGTGTTGCTGAACACAAGAAGGAAGTTTTGGCCCCAGATATTAACACACATGAGAAAAGCTTATTTTTATTTCAATGACTTCATTTTGTTCTTTCCCGAATGATATTTATACTGTATAAACCTACAAGCACCTAGTACATAGCGTGAAGTTTGACAAAACTAAAGAAAAATTGAGAAATCCACATCATGACTTTTCCAACCTGCTTGAACTGCCTGGCCGCACTGTCTTTTCTCTCGGTACAACCAAGATCTCACTCCAGCAGCTTCACCGTGCCAGGTCGGAGTGTGAGCTCGTGTTGTCCTCATTGGGAGTGTCAGCAAGCGTGGGACATCTGTGCCCACGCGTGAGGGAAGCTCAGTCACGGTTCTCGTCTACGCTGACGGCGGGGCCAGATGGGTCTGCCCGACAGCCTGCCCTTGGTGGGGCGGGGACACTGTCCGCAAGGGCTGCAGTCCTCACCTGGGCCGGGTGGCGCCACACGCCAGCCTTGTTCACCCTGCGATGGGACCGTCTCGCCAGGTTTCCCGTGTTGCCGTGGCGTCCGGTTCCTCCTCCCTCGGGAACAGGACGTGGGACCGGCTTCAGGAGTTGGTGGGCTGCGGGAGAGACAGGACAAGGTCAGGCTGGCCTCTGACGCCCTCCGATCTGCAGCCCGGGGTGAGGCGGAGCCGGCGCCCACAGGTGTCCACGGCTGATGCGGCCGTAGCCCCCAAAGGGCACCGCCACACGCCGGTACCGCATCTGGCGGTGTTCTGTTTAGCTTCATTATGCGTGTTTGAAATATTTCCTAGTAAAAAGCACATCTAATTCAGAAGCCTGGCGTTGAGTTCAGCCTTCACACCCAAGGAACCAGGAGAGACCAGGTCATGCTGTCCTCACCCCTCGAGGTGGCACTTGGGGACGTCCAGCCCCAGGAGGGCAGGCCAGGAAAGAAGGGAGGAAAAGACAAAATCCTCCTCAGAAGTGGTACTGAAGCACAAGTGCCCGAAAGAAAACGCAGCGTGAGTCGGTGGGGTGAAGGGAACACGGACGGCTGAGGGGCCGCAGAGCGAGGACTCGCGCAGCCCTCGGGGCTGACGGGGAAGTGAAATGACCCAAGTGAAGACGAAGGAGAAAAGGATCATTGAACAGGAGGGTCAAACAGAAAACAAAGACGACAGGAGCCCGAGTCGGAAACTACACATTAAAGACTCATTCAGATGTGAGGACAGAATTGAAGGTAAAAGGAGGGAAGATAAAATGACAAACACCGAAGGCTCGACGCCGCCTTGCAAGTGGCGTTCAGCCCGCCAAGATGCCACCGCATGCAGGTGCACGAGCACCTGGCAGGCCACGCCGTGAAGGTGACACAGCTGAAGAGGGACCGAGAAGCCACGTCCCCACCCTCCACAGCAGGCAGGCGGTTCTGAGGGCCCGTGCGGTGTGACCAGAAACATGGCCTGATGGCGTGATGGCGTCAGCTGCCACAGGTAGGCATGGGGCACCGCCCGTCCCCCGGCAAGAAAAAGCTGCATATGCCGAGAGGGAGTCGCTGTCCTGAGACGGGAGGGAACAAGCGCGGCCGCTGCGAACGCTGGGCAGAGCAGCTCCAGCCGGAAAACAGACCCTCACGCGGGGCCCGGTCACCCCGGCTCTTTCTGACCCAAACGACACACCTGCTCCCGACAAGAACGTGGAGGACGTGCCGGGAAAAAGCAGAATCGAGAGACAGACCAGCGCCTGGAAAGGCCACGACAGACGTGAGTGTGAAGTAACAGGAACTTCACAAAGATAAAAAAGAACAAAAGGAAAAAAACAAACCCAAGAGGATCCAAGAACCGTGGGCCAGTTACAGGTGTCGTCTGCACTGCAGAAACCGCAGGACCAGAGGACTCAGTATCATTCGTGCAAATCCGTGAGGTTGACTCTGAAAGTTTATAGGAACCCAAAGGGCGGAGAACTTGAGACGATCTTGAAGAAAACAAAACGGGAAGGGACAGCCAGATGCCACGCGCTTTACAAAGGCCACACCTGTCTCTGCCAGACCAACGGGTTCCTGGACAAGCCCAAAGCCAGCCATGCGTGTCCCCGCCCCTCAGATACAGAAATAAACTCCTGGAAGACCGTGAATTTCAGTGTAAAAGGTAAAACAGTTTTCAGAAAAAACTGGAGGCTCAACGTAACCTCGAAGTAGGCAAAGAGACCTTAATAAACAGGAGCCACAAAACTAAATAAAAAGGGAAAAATGGTAAGTTGAAATGTATTAAATCTAAGGATGAAAAGGTCCTCCTAGAGCAGATGTTTGCAGTGTGCAAACCACACGAAGAACCGTGGCAGACAGTAGAAACGGGGACACCTGCACAGGCGCTGAGCAGAGCCTGGCCACGCTCCGGTCCTGGACCCCCAGAAGCGCGTTGCTGTGCGGGCACACTGAGCTGGGCATGTTTTTCTTTTATAATAGCTATTTTTTTAAAGGGGATTAAATTATGGGGGGACCCCCCACAAGAAAGGGGTGGCAGTGTGACTGAAGGATCTGGAACGTTCTAGATGACAGGGCAGCACGGTGCCTGTAGTGCGGTGGGGTGAGCAGGGTTACCTTGGGCACCAGCTGGGGGCGGGGCACGCCCAGGAGGTCGCACAGGCGATTCCGATGCACTCTCACCTCTGGGAGCTTCGCGTCCCTGCGGGGGGAGGAAGCCATGAGCAACACTGACCTTAAAAGTCTCAATACACTCTGGGAAGATCGCTCAAGGTCAGGAGTTCGAGACCAGCCTGAGCAAGACCCCATCTCTACTATAAATAGAAAGAAATTAACTGGCCAACTAAAATATATAGAAAAAATGACCCGGGCATGGTGGCGCATGCCTGTAGTCCCAGCTACTCGGGAGGCTGAAGCAGAAGGATCGCTTGAGCCCAGGAGTCTGAGGTTGCTGTGAGCTAGGCTGACGCCACGGCACTCACTCTAGCCCGGGCAACAGAGTGAGACTCTGTCTAAATAATCTCTTATCTCACTTGCAGAGGCCCCACATCACCGTGAACGAGGTGGAAATTACAGAAAAGACACCTCCTGCCCCAGAGGTCTACACTCAGGCAGGACAGACCGTCCACACAGCAGCTTCCCCGGAGGCCGCCCCTGCCTCGGCGCCTGCGGGGGCGGGCCCTGTGGGTCAGCTGCCGTGCAGCGCAGCAGAAACACGCGAGACGGGATGGGACGTTTGAAGTTTCACTTGGACTGAGCTAGTTGTTACTCGTTAAAAATAAAGACTGGCAGTGCTGTGGAGAAACACCGGGTCTGCTGCTCCTCTGTAGTGCAGGTAAGTTCTGAGGATTCGTTTAAAGGGGATTATTTATGGGGGACCCTCGTGCCCTAATCTCCCCAACACCGAGAGGGCAGCGGCGCCTGGGATTCCAGACACTCCACTGTCCCGAAGCTGATGGTTTTAGGATCTGATCTAGAACGTTCCTTGGTGGCTGTTAAAGCTGGAAACACCACAGAAAGACGGGATGCTGGGCCGGCCCTGTTGCCCCGGAGACGGCTGCTTCTGCCGAGCTTTGGGAGCGAAGAGGCTTGCGCCTCCCTAGACTAGAAAACCTGGACAGAGCCCTGAGGCCAGGAGGCCGCCTCTGTCCTCCCAGGCCCTGGCCGTGCTGTGTAGACGCCCACACGGCCTCTGAGTTTCCGTCCTTTTCTCAAAAAACGCACAAGACTGCTCCCCTTACGGAAGCGTGTGCATGACATGGGGTGTGAGCATGTGCCTGCGTGTGCACGGCGCCGTTACCGCTACTGCCTGGGGCTGCTTCCAGGACCACGTGCCGGCCAGGCACTTGCCGGCCCGCACTCGTCCACATGCCTCGACCTGCGCAGGACCACCGAGGTCTTGGTGCCCCCGAGCCCGAAGCTCTGGGGACCCTGGAGAGACACCCGAGCCGGAGGCCCTGGGGAGGGACGAAACCTTTCTCCCGTTTCTTTCTGCGCCTCTTCGTTTCTGAAGCGCGCCCTCCTCTGGCTCATCTCAAGAAAACAACGCAGGCCGAGGGCCTTAGGGGTTGGGGTGCGATGGCCTCCACGCCCCCAGGCTGAAAGCAGCCATGCCAGCCCAGGCGGTGTGTTGCCGCGGCAGCGTGAACGGCTACCCTGCATCTTGCAGCCCCAGTGGCATTCTGGGAAGCCGCCATTCCCCAGGGCGACCTCAACGCGAATAAAACCACAAAAGCAGCCGCTGCAGCCGCCAGCAGTGCCCGGGACGGGACGGGACGGCCGCGTGGCGAGGAGAGCAGCCCGAGGGGAAAGGCAGCTGAGGCCAGGACACGCCTTCGCTACGGCAGATCGCATGTGAGAGGAAAGCAGTTTCACTTTGAAAATCACCCCCGGACACAGCCCGTCCCTGCCTGCCTGTGTCCTGGCGTCACAAGGCCGGAGTTCCTCCCTCCAGGGGTTTCGGGAGACGGGTGGACGTGGGGACGGGCGGCCGGCTGGGTGGCCCCACTCACCACGCCGTGTCGCTGAGCACAGCCAGGACCTCGTCCAGCGCGCCGGCGCCCACGACGTCGCTGTAGGTGAGCACCATCTCGTACGCCCGGCTCGCCGTGGTCTTCCGGATCTGGGACGGGACAGAGCGCTGCGGGAGGAGACCCCACCCCGCCCACAGAGACCAGGACCTGCCGGGGCGGGGCTGAGCCCCTGCAGCCGCAGGGCAGGGCTGCGGCTTCTCACAGTGGGTCCCCTCAAGGCTTCCCTAAACCTGCCCCTCGCGGGAGCAGCGGTTCCAGCCTCGCCTGCTGCGTCTCCGGCTGTGCCCTGCCGACGTTCCACTGAGGGGTCTCAGACCCCCAGGCCCCCCCAGAGTCCCGTCACGGGACAGGCCCGAAAACCCGCACTGCTGACGGCGGAGACGCTGCGAGGGTCCGCCCCCCCACCTTGGGAGCCGCAGTATTACGTGAAAGTTGCTTTGCCTTTCTAGGGACCTGTCACCTGCAGAGACAGGTCTCATTTAATCTCAGGTCTCATTTAAAGAGATTTTCTTCAGCCAGAGGAAAAGAACTCCCAGCAGCCTAACCCTGGGGGGCGAAGTGGGGGGCGCTGCGGTGTGGGCTGAGCCCCTGCAGCCGGGGACCTCCCGGGAGCCCGAGCCCACTGTGCGTGCGCAGCATTTCTCGACACACTGGGAACGGGCGGTTCTCGCCATGGGAAGGGGTTCTCGCCATGGGGAAGGGGGTTCTCGCCAGGGGAAGGGGGTTCTCGCCAGGGGGAAAGGGGGGTTCTCGCCATGGGGAAGGGGGTTTCTCACCAGGGAAAAGGGGGGTTCTCCACATGGGGCGACCAAGGGGGGGTTCTCGCCAGGAGGGAAGGGGGTTCCTCGCACATCGGGGAAGGGGGTCCTCACCCAGGGGGAAGGGGGGCTTCCTCAATCAGGAAAGGGGACTCAACCGGGGAAGGGGGGCTCACCAGGGGAAGGGGGTTTCATCAGGGGGCCGAGGTGTCCACAAAAAAAGGACAGGGGAAGAGGGGGGTTCTCGCAATAAGGGGAAGGGGGAAAAAAAATCCTCCATCAGGGGAAGGGGGTTCATTCCAGCTCAGGCGGAAGGGGGTTCCTCTAATCAGAGAAGAAGGGGGGAAACACCACCGGGGGCAAGGGGGTTCATCCGTAAGGGAAGGACGGTGTCACACCAGTAAATATTAAAGAAAACAGAACAGGGGAAGGGGGCTCACCAGGGGAAGGGGTGGCAGAGCAGCAGGCACAGCTGCAGGAGCGCCTGCCTCCGCACGTCGCCGCAGAACTGCACCATCCCGCAGAACCTGCAGAGACAGCAGGCCCAGGCCCGCGTGAGCCGCAGCACACCCTTCGTCCCAGACGTCAGTGGGGCCCTGGAGAGCCGAGCACTCAACCGGGGCACCAGAGCCCCGGGAGTGCATGGCTGCACCGCTGGCCAAGCAGTCGCAGGACCCTCGAGTGGTTGGGGGTCGGGAACACCAGGCCCCCTGGAGGGCAAGGAGGGCGGGCGCGGCTCACCATGCTCATGCG